TCGTCGTCGGTCTGAGCGGGCTGCGGGCTTGCTGTTGGCTTCGGCTTTAGCTGATTGAGGCCAAAGGGATCATCGTCGACCTCATTGAATGACATTCCACCGGTCTGGTGCAGCTGCCCCGCCGCGATAGAGGCGCTCTGCGCGATCTGCGGCGAGGGGCTCGGGCTCGGGATCGGGAAGTTCGTCGAAGCATCTACAGGCGCAGAGGCATCGAAAGCAGCAAGAAGATCATCCTCATCGGCGGACGGAGATCGCTGCGGCACAGACCTTGACGTCGACGCAAAGGGATTCTTGTTCCCGGTCTTCTCCAAATTATCCCAGAATTGAGCATTTTGCCCCCCGTATTGTGATTCAAACTTGGACCTATTCTCTGCTTCCTTTCTGGCGCGCTCTTCTTGCAGCCTCTTTTGTTGCTCTAGGAGAGATAGTTTCTTATTCGCATTTGACGAACCAAAGGAAACAAGATTCGCAAAGCTGTCGTTGTCCGGGGTCGCCGACTTGGACGGTGGTTGAGAGGGGCCGGTGGCAGAGAGGGGGGTAGATCGGCCAGAAACGTTATTGCGCGCCACAGCGGGAAACGAGAATCCGGAGCCCAGAGGCGGGAGCTTCTGAGCGTTCGTTGAAGAGTTGGATGTCCAACTTAGTCCGTTCAGGTCGTCCATTGTGATTGTGTGAAGAGGAATGACAAGCGGAGGTCTGGAGGGGCCGGAATTAGGAGAAGGATAGACGTAGATGAGAGAGTTCCATGATCTGATCTCACCATCGAATACCACCAGGGCCGAGTGAGTTGATTGAGCACGAAGTGAACAGGAATCTGCCTCGGGGACTGCGCGTTTTCCTACCTTTCACCTACTGTCTCCTGCAATGTCGCCGTCAATTGCCCCCTGTAGATAGAGATACCCGTAATTGTGGCTGAGGAGCTGAGGTGGCTTCTCAGCGGTCAATGTGGCTCGTGAAATAATCACGTGGAGGCTTAGCATCGTACGGAGTGGATTCCGTATGGACCTAAGGTAGGTAGTCCTTCGGCATTTCAGTTGTGTTACCATACCATACCAGAGTTACCAGTGCCCACAGCACTTGGTAGTACCTTACTTTATGCACGGCTTAGCAGTATTAGCACATACTACCTTAGCAAATAGCAACTGATTCGATTTAAGCCTTTCAAGAGGGTCTCGATATACTCTATTATTAATGACAACTTGCGACTCGAGGGATGATCATCCAAGCTTCTTAGTTGAGATTCTCTCAAAACCCTGGACCTAGGGCATCGCTTGATGATGATGTGTGGAGAGCTGGTACCTTAGGGAATACTCCATACCTAGGTACCAAGTCAGTGGTACCGTCATACCTACAAGGATGTCTGGGCAAAGGACATGCCATAGAGACTGTTGTCTAGGACGATGGATTATGATCAGATCACCAGGGAGGTGAGAAAAAAAGGCCTCATCGTCGAACCCCTTATTTGGCATTGCAGAGCCTCCAATTGCCAACTTAGGGTGCGTTCCAACCTAAAAGACCAGGTACCATGGTACCAATGATACTATCAAAGTCAGATCTGGCAGAAGGACAGATGACGCCGAAGATGCTTGACACTACAGGGTTGGACAGCGCGAGATCAGCAGTAGTAGTACACGGAGTTCGTAATGGTCTAGTAGTGGACCAAGTTACAAGTTACCTTACAACTCAACTCTTCCTCTCAGGAGACATCTCATTGGCTGTCAGGTAAGCAATAGGCGAGCGCTACTGTGAGCCTGCGAAGATCCTTGAGAGAGTGCAAAATACAGGACGATTGCATGGAGATATGGGTGCAGAGCCAGTAAGACTTGTGCTGCCAGTTGTCTGTCTGCCACCTTATCATGTTCCTTGCACCAACTACTACGGAGGACGTCCAGCAGTTTGAAAGAGAGTGGACATCTCCGGCACTAAGACCAGAAAGTATACCCTGGTGTGACATGGCATATGTTCCTACATTATTATTAGACTCGGTCTGCATGAATCACGCAAGGTGATCGCTAATGAAATCATATCAAGTTTGCCGCGTCCAGAAGCATTAACATGCTTCCATATCGGCTGAGCTAAAAGAGAGGAGGTTCGGAATTGTTGTCGACGACAGAAAAAGAGGTGCCTGGCAAACGACAAATTATCGTGCTACCTTACCATTTTTCACGTCTTGAGTATGGACCTTCGCAATGTTAACAAATAATGGCAGATGGAACTATAGTCAATCAATGGTGGGGTTAGCAGACTTGAATGAGCACACGGCCCGAAACTGAAGCAAGTCAATTCGTTGTTCTCTCGTTTTCGCAAAACACTAAATTAGAGCCAGTCCATCCGCACTCGGTTCCCCTCAGCAGTAAGATGGACAATTTACCCGTTTGATATGGAAGGTTCTAACGGACTGGGCCTCTGAGAGGTGAATCTGAGCCGACGGGAGGAACAAGAGCTAAGAAGGCACATGCAAGACGAAAACAACCCCTCAGAGACAAAAGCCAAAATGAAACCCTTGACAAATAAACTTGAAACCCAGCAGTCCCAGCAGTATGGCCAGGATCGTGTCTCCCGCATTAGTCTTGACGCCGGTGCGTTGAGGTTTAAAGAGGGAGTCCAAGGGGTTGTAAAGCAAAGAATAAGTCATCTATGTTAGCCTGTTAGGCCTAGGGAGCAACCCGCCTTAATCACATAATGCCTGACCTTTGTACCTCTCTACATGACCTCGAACGGATTTTTATTACACCAGAAGGTTACAGAGAGAGTAACACCATGCACAAACCATTCCAGCAATGCAAAAAGCATATAAAATGAAGGCAAGATACGAAGTCAATGGTACAACACATACCGCTATACTCTGTAGTCCGTTCTCTGGAGTCCACAGGTTATGGCCCGCCATCCGAGCTCACAGTGGGTCTGCTGAACAGTCTGCTTCGGCCGTTGAGTCCAAGCATGATCATCAGGATCAAAGTAAAAGCAATGCATTATTATTGTTGCCACTCATCAGTGTAACAAGTGGAAAGGTCGAGCTAATTTTGTCAACAACAATGATAACAACAATGATAACAACAACAACAAGAAGAAAGGAGATGCAAGTAGGTTTAGCCAACAGCATGTGAGTTTAGAATATTGACTTACTTGTAGCCAGTGGCGTCAAGTATTTGTGGGGCTTGCAATTTGCATATAACAATGGCATTCTCGTCTCTCAGTCAGTCTGTCTGTCTCTCGCCAGTGCCAATATATAGTTGTTATTATTATGTAGGTCTACAGAATATTGAGGACATGTGTCAGCACTCAGGACTAAGAAGTGTAAGGTGCGAGATGGTGGCGAGGATAACACACCAGCCACCAGAAATGGAAGCGTTGTAAAGTAGTCTAAGGATCCGGACCGGCCAGAAATCTAGATCCGCTTTCCGCACCCTTGGGGCGAGGGAGAAAAGAGGAAAAGATCCGGACTGGTTTAAATGGTCGAATGACTCCTGAATACTGACCCATATGATGGCCATATCTAGATAGATAGGTAGTCTAAATACAGAGAAGTGCCATAAATGGACAAATCATTATTATTGGCCTTGTCCACCTGGCTGTCCGTGCTTGTACCAGCACCCTTGGAAGTTGTCGCTAACTATTGTGGGTAAAAGAAAGTGAGATGCTAATGGCGTAAGTAGTAAAAGTAACCTAGTAGGTGGGACTATGCTGACGATGAATGCCTACTGTACTACTAGTACTACTACTGTCTAGTACTTTGTTGTACTTGTACAATACCTTCTACTGAGTGTACCTACTTGGTAGAAAGTCGTGATTGATAAGTACTACATAGTACATAGTCCCTACCTAGTCATTATTTTAGGCCGGTACTCGTGCTCTGTAGTAGCAGGTGAATTGTCATGCATCCACCCAATGTGCCTAGAATAATAGGTATGGACTACAGTGGCATTTCTGCGGGGTTGATTATTCCGGCAGTAGTACAGTAAGCGAGTCAGAATGCATCAATCATATCAACATCGGAGTCTGCCTGCTCGGGACAAGTAGTAGTACTACCGTAGTAGTAAGATTGAAGACCAACCCTGGATCCCAACTTTTATCTAAAAAAGAGTGAACGTAAAAATTCAGTATCCTTTTGAGTTTTTGACTTAGTACTCCGTATGCACCTTAACTCGGGTCTTACGCGGGGCAGAAAAATCACCCCTCTTCCCCTTGAAAGTCGAGTGGAAAGGAAGAATGCAAAGGCTCTGTTTGACCAGCAACACTACCTAAGCTTCCCTGAACTCTGCTGGATGCCTCCTTTTGAGTTCTTCCTTCTGCCTTACTTTCTTTGCTCTTTTGCAAAATTGCAAAAGCTCTCCACCAGTCCACCTCCCAACTCCCATTGTCGACTACGGTGATTGCACGATCACAAGTGCTAATCCTGAACGGTGCTAGATAGAATAATCAATATCGTACCTAAAGTTCTCTGATTCCCCTTAATCACGCTGAATTCTCTTTCAATTGAGAAAGGTCCAGTCACCCACCCGCCCCGCTTGATTATTACCAGTATTATCTTTTTTTTACTGCGTATTAATTTATATTTCCTGGGTTCTCCTGCGCCTTAATTGATCTCATTATTATTATTAACTATATTCCCCATACCAATAATATTTATTTATTTATTGTTGCTTTTTGTGAAATTGAATTTTCGTTCCTAGGGGAAAACCAGCGAGGGGGCGCAACTCGTCCACCAACTCTCAGTCAAACCAGCGACAAGCTCTCAAAACAAGCGCTTCCTCCGTGTCTCCAGGTATCGGACCGCAGATCATCATCTTTTTGATGTGCACTGTCTCCTTTCCCCTTCAGTGAAACTTGGCCGATCTCTGTCTTGCGCCTTTCACTTTCTCGAAAATCAACCTCACTCTTGATACTCTCCAGTCTAATACCTTTCCACCAGTGTTCGCTCCCTCTCTTCTGGAGACGCTAGACGACGACTGGTTTTCTCATCGGCCATCGACAATCAACCCTGTGTACCTCCCTTCGCCATGGGTCTCTTCAAGCGCAAGGACTCAAAGAACTCCATTCACAGCGATAAGGATGAACAGGATTCTTTCGCCACTGTCAACAGTGCTCGCACCTCGAATGCGTCGTTGAGGTCCCCCGGATACAAAGGAAGCGGACTGCCAGCCTCAATCCCAGAGCTTCCAATTGCCAGACCCCCGGATCCAGCATTGGACCCTGCAGCTTACCTTCGAAGCATCCATGCTGTCCGCGAGCGGTCTCGCATCGTTTTCGACAAGGCAAAGAAGAACGGATTGAATCATTTCGATGTCGATATGTCCAAATTCAAGGCAACAGCTTCGTATATTGTGTCAATCATCAAAGTACGCGCCTTCTCTCCGTCCTCTAAAGCTGTGGTGCTTGGATTATAGCTAATATTGACATTCCCGCAGAGAGACTATGCGCCCGATTATGCGTCCATCCCGCCCCACGGTCGCTGGCAGCATTTTGACGTTGGCGGCAGACCCCGTGTGAATCAATTGCTTCAATCTTGGCCTAGCACAATTGATGCGCAGGAACGGACACGACGTCTGATTGACCTTTTCGTGGTCTCCGTCCTTCTAGATGCTGGTGCAGGCACGAAGTGGTCATACAAATCAAAAGAATCTGGCAAGGTTTATTCTCGGAGCGAGGGGTTAGCGGTGGCCACTCTGGAGATGTTCAAGAGCGGCTTGTTCAGTAGTGATCCCACGGAACCATGCCAGGTCGACGGTGCGGGCCTAAAGAAGATCACGGTGGAGGTATTGGCTAGAGGAATGCAGCATTCTGAGCATAATCAACTGGCAGGGCTTGAAGGACGTGCTGGACTGCTGATGAGACTGTCTGAGGCCTTGAACAACCAGGAGTTCTTTGGCGTGGATGCTCGACCAGGAAACATGCTTGGTAAGATTTCCCGCTGATCAGGTCCGTGAGCGAACTATCTGGTAACATTGTGCGTCTAGACTACTTGCTTTCTCATCCATCTACGCTTGCCTCGTCTGTACCCATTGTTCCCATCACCACATTGTGGACGGTCCTCATGGATGGGTTCGCATCAATTTGGCCTCCTTCGAGAACCCAGGTCGATGGGGTCTCTATCGGAGATGCTTGGGTCTGTTCAAACATGCCCCAGTCTCCTCCGGCACAGCCTTGGGAGAGCATCGTACCCTTCCACAAACTTACGCAATGGCTTTGCTACTCAATCATGGTACCCATGGCAAAGTTACTGAACATCCACGTCGCTGGCAGTGACCTCCTAACTGGACTTCCTGAATATCGAAATGGCGGCCTCCTCATTGACATGGGGTTGTTAGCTCTCAAAGATGCCGACCTCCAGCGCGGCATCGCAGCATACAAACAGAACGCTCAGATCAAGGGCCAGCCAAATGTGGAGGTAGTCCCACTTTTCGCGGCCGATGATGATGTGGTGGTTGAATGGCGCGCCGTTACGGTCGGATTCTTGGATGACCTTCTCATGGAGGTGAATAATCAATTGGGATTGAGAGGCGAGGAACAATTGACTCTTGCACAGATGCTCGAAGCTGGATCATGGAAGGTATGCTATCTTGAGATCGGGGTTTCCACTCGCAATTGATTCCCTAACGAATTCTGTACAGGGCGGCCGTGAAATAGCAGAGGTCTCCCGACCCAACACCAAAGAACCTCCGATTATGATTCTCTCCGATGGCACGGTGTTCTGAGCACAAGCATACATTTGCGACCCTTCCCACACCCGCCAGCTTCTAGTCTCCACACCTGATGACTTGCGTAGCCTTGACGACTTCTTGATGACCTGACCAGATGCTATATGTCTTCTATCACCCCCTGACTTTGTTATGTGTGTATTAGCTTCGGTGAAGCTACCTTACCTATATATATTTCTGCTTCTCATTTAGATATATTTCTGACCTTGTTATGACTATGTTCTGTGTACTGTTTCTTTTCATGGTGGACATGGGTAAAAGTACTGACGATGTTACGGCCTTTGCCTGGATTCCCTACTCCATCTTCATATTGAAAAGGAATTGGATGCTTCAAGGACCATTGCAACGAGCAGTTAGGCGCTCAAATTCTTTGAGATGTTCAGAGATGCGGACATCATCAGGCTATCATTGAATCCACCAGGGTTTTCTTCTCTCAGACCTAGGTGAGCACTCTGCGGAGGTGAATTGTGTAGGTGGGAATGTACATTCACTCAACTAGTGACTGGAATCTAATTCAATGATTCAATGGAGAAAGCATGTTCGCTCTGACTGAGAAAGCTAGGTAGTAAAGCCATAAGGAAGGCAGACTCTTACCTTGATGCTGTTCCCCGTAATGTTGCGCACGTGACCAATTCGGATCATTGTTGACCCAAACGAGTGACGCCCATGCAATGACGGAGGCTGGTCATACCCCCCATTTCCATCAGCCAATGATCCCAAGACCCATTGTCTCGTTCATCCTGTACACAAAGTCCATTCGCACATATGTATGAGAGGGACTTGCAGAACTCGCAGTCCATACGATAGCGCCGCCGTTTCCCATTTCTTCAAGCAAGCTCGATACCCATAAATTGCGGGGTACTGGGGTCAACCTAGTGCAACACAGCGGAACAGCCCAAGAAGCAAGGAATGGATCAACGCAAGAAGAAGAGAAAGGTGCTTTTGATGGGGAAGAGTGGTTCGGGGAAGTCGTCCATGCGTTCCATCATATTCAGCAACTATGTTGCGAAGGATGTGCGGAGACTTGGGGCTACGATTGATGTGGAGCACAGCCATGTCAAGTTCATGGGGAATCTAACGCTAAATCTCTGGGATTGTGGAGGGTAAGTTTGCTGTCTTTCCTAGTTCCTCTTAGAGGCTGACCTGGTGGCTAATGCGCACGTCAATGGGTCAACAGGCAAGATGCGTTCATGGAGACTTATCTCGCCTCGCAGCGAGGGAATATCTTCTCTGACGTCGCGGTCCTGATCTATGTATTCGACATTGAATCGCGGGAGGTCGAACGCGACCTCGACACATACAACGCCATCATCGGTGCCCTGAAAGAATACAGTCCCAATGCACACGTTTTCTGCCTAGTACACAAGATGGACCTCATCCAGGCCGAGCACCGCCAGCGCATCTACGAGGAACGCTCTGCGCTGATCCGGAGCCGCTCGGAACAGTTCGCAATCGACACCTTTGGCAGTAGCATCTGGGATCAGTCACTCTACAAGGCATGGGCAGGGATCGTTCACCAGCTCATCCCGAACTTGACTGTCATCGAACGGTTTCTCAGCGCGTTCGCGAAGAGAATCGATGCGGAGGAGGTCATCCTCTTCGAGCGCTCGACTTTCCTAACCGTGACCTCTGTCTCATCCGAGATCGGCGACATGAACCCCATCTATGATCGCCACGAGCGTCTTTCAAACATTATGAAGGCATTCAAGCACTGTGCTGCCCGCAATACGCACACGACACCAGCCACAGCCGGTTTTCTGGTCATGCACACCAAGACCCCGCAGTTCAACGTCTTTCTCGGCCGCTTCACCGACAATACATATATCTTCATGGTTGTCCCGCCAGGCGAAGCAGCGTACAACTGCGCCGTCCTGAATACCATGTTGGCCCGGGAAGGCTTCTCCAAGGCCGCGGCGGCAGGCTACGGGGACGGGTTCCCGCTCCCAGCATCGGACTCTCCAGAAGCGAGAATGGCCAATGGTATCACTGCTTGAGCTAGCACGCTCAAGCCGCACATGGGCCAGAGCACGTCTTCAGTTTCTGATACGGTAAGCGGTGATCAGGCCCAAGTCTGGCTCCGGCCTACGCGCTGCGATGTACACCTGGTATGCCCAAAAGTACTGGGATGACGGCGTTCCGGTTGAGAGTGATGCGTTTTCTTTTCTGTATAAGATACCCAAAGCGTGGCATTTTTTTCGTAAGAACAATTGCCAATGTTCCTCAAATGTAAATCACATCTATCGTCGAACATTATTTGCATATTGGTACACTTTTTCTCTTTAGTCTCCAGATGAGACCAGTCGAATGCTCGGCATACGATCACGCGAGCTCTTGCTCAAATAGGCTTGAACGTCGTTTGACCCCTGCTCCTCCAGAGAGAGGTAAAATAAAATAGTTCGGAGGATAATCATTATTGAGGGTGCAGCAGCTGTACACTGGGAGACAGGCTCTACCTGCCACCCCGACAACTTGGTCTGGGACAGAAAAGAAAGAAAAATGTCTATTTGAGCTAACACGACGCTTGAAATCATTGTACATCGGGCATACGGACAGCGATATCGCCAGACTGCGTAATGTATCGAACCCAAGGAAGTGAGGGGTATTGCAACTGCAACAAGAGGTCAGATCGGCATTTGATCTCCAACGGGGTGTCGAATCAACTGGACATACCTTGGGCTCTGTGATCTTCAGGTACCGCACTTGGATACCACTAGTGGTGAAGTAGGGAATTTCAAACTTGACGTTGATGGGCCGCTTGGCTTTGCCTTGCCCGGTGCCGCCCATGCTGCCTCCGAAGCCTCCGGTCATGCCTCCACCGTGCTCGTCGTCGCCCTTGACGGACGGCAGACCGAGTTCGGCGCGCATGAGAAACTCCTTCCCACCACCGAACTGCTTGATCTTCCAGATGATCGCTGACTTTTCAGGCGCGTAGTGGACGCTTCCGATATTGGTGCGGAACCGGGGGGAGTCTGCGTCTTCTGGCACGGGGACAAGGATTTCTACATTGTTTGCAGTGCTGCGACGCTTGAACTGTGCTTTGGCCTTTCGAGGGGAGTCAGTCCAATGCTACTATATAGCTCTTTCGATTTCTGAGGAAGCCTCTTACCTTCAACATATATTCCATTCGGGAGCCCGAATGTGATTCGACCAGACACTCTACCCAGATTAGAGGCTTGACCTGCGTGTTAAGACGGTAGCTCATAAGCTCGAACTCTCCATCCGGTGGAATAAAGCTGATAGTCCGGTCGTTCTCGAATCTGGAAAGTCGGACGCACTGGTGGAATTTGACATCCTCCATTTCAACCGCCTTGCCTCGTGTAGCACGCCCAGTGGTTTCGAACATAACCTTGTCGTTGAGACCTAACCGCAGCTCCGGCATACCACTCAGGTAACACTTCATCTTGATAGCACCCAGGATCTCCGATCGCAAGACGTTTCCAGACGCCGATACCAGGAGATTGAGAGATTCAACAACATCGAGGAAGACTTCGTTCTTGCGATAGCGAATGCCCTCGCTTCGCCAGGAGACGGCATTTGTGACGGCGATAGGTGGTCGGGCTTGAATCTCAAGCTTGTGCGACTCTTGTGTGATATACCTGGGGTAGGAAAGGCATATTATCAGTCTTCGGTCCTGCGCAAATCCACAACTGCTGGCCACAGCCACTCACTCTTGCAGGATCTTGCTCTCTGTTGTCTGGGGGTAGCCAAAGTCCATCATCTCGTCCAGTAGCTCGTAAATGATGACGAAGTTGTCGCGAATACTCTCTTCCTCCAGCACCTTGAAATATTCTGTAAAGACTTCCACGATCTTGTGGAGGAAGAGGAGGATCTCGGTGGCATTGGTATTTCTCTTGGTTAGGGCGAGGATGTAGAGATTGCTGTGACGAATGTAGAGGTACTAGAGAGGAGCCACCACGTCTCAGCACTTTTTCACTTGATATAATCACAGATAGATAACGCAGCCATATCCGACACTTCCTGTATGTCCTCGAGCCAAAGTTGCTGGTTCGAATAGGGGGAGAAGGTGAGTTGCGGGGAGCGGGGAAAGCTCCGAAGACCAGGCAGTGCAGGTTCGCAGGAGTCTCACATACATTGATTCCTTCGTGGGAGAAACACGGAGGGACGGCGGAGCTTTCTTCTTCGGCTTCGCTAAGGAGGATGGGGAACTTCTCGACTGCGGACATGGGAATGTCTCCACGGTAGTTGCGGGCTAAAAGGGTCTACTCGAGCCGTCAGTTTGCGCGTTCCAGGCCTGTCGAGAAATGGGGATGTGAAGGCGCATTGCTCACTTTGCCCTTCAGATCCAAGAAGAATAAAGCGGACGCCATTGTGCAGGTAAGAGGGTGGTAGTGAGGGCGATAGTATGAATGCCGATTGTCAGGGAATCGATGGGAGCGGGTTTCAACTGTAGAGGCCAGCGAGTCCAATATGCCACATTCTGCTCTGAAGGGTCAAGATTCAAGAGTACACTTTCAAAGAGCTAAAGCTATAACCGACCAGCCAAGCAGAACAATGAACCCTATGATAGCTGAATTCGACGGGAAGCGAGGCCAGGAGATCAATGCAGGATAAAGATGATGCCCGTTTGGGGTCGCAGTCCAATCCGTCAACACCTTAATTTTCAGGAACCCAATCTCAGCCCCACGCCAAGTCTCGAAGAAGCTTAGCGGCCCTCCCGAGGAAAGGGTTTATATTTCGCTTCTTCGGATTTTTCTATTCTTCTCTTTTTCTTTTCTTCTCTAACGCTCCCAATAGACAGTACAAGCAACACAAATTGCTTCGTGTGATTTCTGCGGCCATTGTAACATTTTGTTCACAATGGTCTGCAGGCCTCCATAGTTGACTTGCGATACAGAGGTGCGAAGACTAGAATCGTAATGAGGGTTCCATAAGAGCTGGCCGGGTATTTTACTGTTACTCGGGCGGCGTCAGAGGAACCGTACATTCCTTTGCATTTTAATCTATCTTGATGGCTTCCTTGGGTCTTTCGTATAACG